CAGAGCTGCGAGAACGGTGCGTGCGGCCCGGGCTGGGGCCTGGGCGGCTCCGGCTTCGCGCCTTCCCTCCCTCCTTTCCCATCCTGGGGGCTGGGGTGGCTCGGTTCTCGGACCGCTTTTGAGGATCAGTCCCCCGCTTAGGCTTCACTTCCACCTTCGCTGCTGGGGTGGCTGAGCGCAGAGAGAGGGAGGAAAGGGAACCTAGCTGCGAGAACGGTGCGTGCGGCCCGGGCTGGGGCCTGGGCGGCTCCGGCTTCGCGCCTTCCCTCCCTCCTTTCCCATCCTGGGGGCTGGGGTGGCTCGGTTCTCGGACCGCTTTTGAGGATCAGTCCCCCGCTTAGGCTTCACTTCCACCTTCGCTGCTGGGGTGGCTGAGCGCAGAGAGAGGGAGGAAAGGGAACCTCGGGTAGGGGGTGTTACTGACCAGAAGGGCGGCCTGGAAAGTGGGGGGCTCGGGTTAGTGTGCAGTTACTGTTGGTTCTGGTACCTGCCCGGATGTGGCTGTGTCTGTTACCCAGGACAGAGGGGGCCCCCAAACCTGCACACATTTTAAACAAGGAGGGAAACATCCTAGGCTGCTTGGTGAGTTCTGACAACAAAGCAGGCAGTGGACTAGGCCTCTCACCCAGCAGTATCTCATTTAATTCTTGAAGTCAGCCTACAAGGTGGCAGAGTTACGATTTTACTAACCCCGTTCTGGAGATGAGGAAACAGGCCCTGAAGAGGTGAGTAACTTGCTCAAGACAATTCTGTGGGCACATGGACTAGAAGACAAGGCTCTGGGTCTAGGACTACCTGTACTACCATGCTCAGCCCATGTTCTGGGGTCTCCCCTTTCCCACCTGGTCTTGGAATGACAGCCTGTGGGCTGACCTTATTTCTCCAACTTCTCCAGGGAAGCTCTCCAAGCTGGCCAATTTCCTGAGCCATCTTCAGCCTCCCCCTTCTCCCTGGGCACACTGTGTTCTCTCTGCATATTCTGGGCGAGAAGACAGGAATCCCCTGTTTTTCAGATGAAGCCCATCAGCCTCCTCTCTTGCCACTGTAGGGAGAGGACTTGGCTCAGTGGAGAGCGCTGGACTCCTGGGTGCTACAGGCCTCCCAGGGGCAGCCATGCTTCCCATGAGTCCTTTGGCTCCACCTACCAGAGAGACACCTTCAGGGGGCCGGGGAAGGGTGTGGGAATGAGCTTGGCTTTGCCTGGTCCTGTTCCCCCAGGCTCTGGCTCATTTCCTGGGCTCAGGGAACTCCCCAGATTCATTCAGCCTCTTGGGCAAGGAGACCTGGGCTGGAGGAACAGGAGTGAGCACTGCAGGACCAGTCTGATTAGGGAAGCGATGATGGCTTCTTGTCTCATCTTCCGGGGATTGTGACATGGGTGTTGGAAAGGTGGGTCTTCCATTGCAAAAGACATGTAGATGTTGGTGGTGGACCCAGACCCATATCTACCACCAGGCGTTTGTGTGACTCAAGGCAGTTCCTTCCCTGCCCAGGGCCTGTTTCCCCAGCTGGAAGTAGGAGGATTCGCCTGGCTGGTTTTTAAGGGCTCTTCCAGCTGTGTTTTTAAGTGATTCTATGCCATGGAAGAAGGGCCAGCATTACTCTTATTCTGTTCCACCAAGATGGCACTCTGTGCTGCACACATTACCAAACCCAGAGCTGCCTGGCCTTGGACTTTGGGGCCCTTCTAGGCACTGCCTTGGTCTCAGAGATCCTGGTCCAGGCCTACTTCCTTGGCACTGGACCCTGTGCCACACAGCATGAAAGGGCCTTCTGCACCCTGGGGCCACAAATTTAAATGCCTACAAATAACTCAAGAGACTGAGGAACTGCAGAGACCCATACTGTCTAAGGGGCACCCACTGCCCAGCTGTAGCCATTGGTTGCCTGCCTTGTTTTCTGATTTATAAAATATGGTCCCTAATGTGAATTTTCATAGAAATGCTCACAATTTGTAAATGTTGGTAACAGACTCATGTTCTAAAATGCCCCTTAGGAGGCCAGATGATGCCTCCTTCCCGCTTGCTGCCTGCTTTCTTGGAGTGTGTGTGGTGATTATGAGCATGGGCTCTGGCATCTAGTGGCTTGGGGTCTAATTCTGGATTCCCCACTGACTGACCAGCTAGCTTTAGGAAGGTTACTGAACTCACTTTCTTCAACTAAAGACCTGGAAAGGATTGTTGAGCCTGTTTCATAGAGTGGTTGTGAGGAATCCTTGCGGAAAACTCCAGAACAGGACCATGTGTGTGGTAGCACTGGAGGGTGGTTGGTTATTCTTTGTAATGTTTTATGGAAATCACATGGCTTAGTTTTTTACTGAGGGTCTGCCTCTGGTGCCTAGGCTCACCCTTACCATTGCTGGTGTTTATGCCAGATAGGGAGGCAAGGGTAGGCTGGTTCTGGGCCATGAGGGCAGATTCACACAGACGGCAAATCACACAGACTGACAGAGTCTACATGGGGTAGAGAGGAAACCAATCCTTTTGCAACCCAAAGGAGATTCCAGTCACTGACTGCAAGCTCCAAAGGGCTTAGAAGTAAGACCTGAGAATGGTCAGTTCCTGCAAGCAGGAGGCTCACTACTCAGTCATCTTGAGCCCTACACAGGGGTTGTGGACTGTCTAGCCTCACCCGCTAAGGCTGCCTCTGACCAGCCTCCCTTGCAGCTAGAGCTGAGGGAGATGGAAGTGAAGAGGGCCCTGGGTGGGACTATGAGCTATTGGAGGCCGGCATGCCCCTAGGCTCAGGGGGAATTCCTGCAGAGAACAGGAGGATGGACTTCATCATTCTGGAGGGCTCAGGGACACTCACTGGTATGTATGGCATCAGTGCTACCTGTTGAAACCCTGAAATCAGATCATTTGGGCTCCTGTTTCCACACCCGTGAAATGGGGATCAGAGACATCACTTATTTGACAAGTGGTTGTCAAAATTGGATGTTTATACAAATAAAGCGCTTAGCCAGATTATTTTTAGGTTGAGGTCCAGTGTTTGAGGTGGAGCCATGCAGTAATGGAAGCATGGAGGTCAGAAAGAGAAGCCAATTACAGTGTTTGTAAAGCGTGCACAGATCCCCAGAGTGACTCTCACCATGGTTTCCCATGCAGGTTCCCTGATCAGCCTCTACTGCTCTTCCCAAGAAGTCCTGTGTCAGATCGTCACTGGCCTTAACCCTGAGGTACCCAAAAATGCCACCTTGGACACCTGGCAGGAAAGGATCAGAAAGAACTATGGTTTCTACATCGGCTTGGGCCTGGCCTTCCTGTCCTGCTTTCTCATCGGCAGCAGTGTCATCCTCAAGAAGAAGGGCCTCATTAGACTGGTGACCAGCGGGGCCACGCGGGCTGGTAGGCTCCTTGGGGAATGGGGGAGGACAGGGCACAGGTCAGCAAAGCCTGAGCCAGCTTCCCTCACAGAGGCCTGGGCTGCAGTCGAGTGTGTGGCCTCAGGTGTGCACAAAAGACTCACTGTCAACGTGCTGAGAATCCACCTGCCAGCAGGAAGCCTTCTCTATAATTCAGATTTCCTGAGAACCTCATGATACACACATTGGTGTACAGACAGGGAGGAGCCTCGGGACTGAAAATCAGACTCTCCAGACCTAGTCCTGGCTGTACTTCTCACCAGAGGTGTCATCACAGAGAAGTCACAAGGGTTCCCATGAAATGGTCGCACAGAGGCCTCTCTTCCCACAACGGCATCGGACTCCTGTGAGCCCTCCCTTATCCATTTGTGTTCCCCATGGGCTCCAACAGTTACTGAGTCTCTGTCCACAGGGACTTGCTTGTTTGGAAAGTAGGATATGTATTCATGAAACAATTCCTGTGCATGTGTAAAAGAACTTGCTCATGGAATCGTACAAGGCTGGACACGGGTAGCGTGTCCTCGTGGAACATCGAGATAATGAGGAAGAGAGAGCAAGGTCCAGGGGAATGTCTTCCAGGTAGAAGGAACAGCAGGTGCAAAGGCTCCTAGAGAAGAGGCGCAGGTGACATTAGAAACTGAAAGTTGTCTGGCTTCACTGGAGCACAGCAGGGTGGAAGATGAGGTGAAGGCCATGAAGGGTCTTCTAAGTGGAGTCTGACTGCAGGTGTAAACAAGTGAGTGGTTTTAGGCAGGGAAACGCGACAGTCTGACTTAGGATTTGGAAGGTCCTTGGCTCCTAGGTGAAGATTGGAGTAGGGCACTGGAGGTTCCCTACTGGAGGGTAGGGAACCAATTATGTGACCCAGAAGATAGAACTTGGGCCTGAAAAATGGCACTGAGACAAGGGGTGGATTCCAAAGATGCTTTTCAGAGGTGGAATTTACTTGCTTTGATGGTGACTGGCTACAAGGGCAGGGTATAAAGGAGTCAAGGAAGACTCAGACTTCTGACTTGAGCAACGAGGGAGAAAATGATGCTGCTCTCTGGGATGGAGAATGCAGAGAACAGGTTTTGGGAAGAGGATGCACTCAAGTTGGGATGAGTTCATAGAATGTTTCTCAGAGATATCACACCATGGAAGCAGCCCTCGGGCTTCAATTCTAGCCTCTCGATTCCTGGTGACAGATCCTGGCAAGAAAAGTATTTTTTCTGTGCCTTGGTTTGCTCATCTTTAAAATGGGTATAGGAATAGTACGAGCCTTAAGAGTTACAGAAGACAGGTACAGCTTGAGTGTCTGAAATGCTCAGGACCAGAAGGACCAGAAGTACTTAAGATTTGGGTCTTTTTCAGATTTTGAAACTGTACAGATGGTGGGGGGGATTTTATGGGATGAGATCCAGATCTAAACAGGAAATTCACCGTGTTTTATGTACACTTACACATATAGCCTGGAGGTACTTTTCTATATAATATGTCTAATAAATTTGGTCATGGTATAAAGTCCCACATTCTCTGCTAACATGTGAGGTCAGCACTCAAAAGGTCTGGGGTTCTGGAGCACCTTGTCCTAGGGATGCTCAACCATGTCATGTCTAGAAAGGTGTTTGGCATGGAGGGACCACTGGGAAGGGTTTGGTGTCACTTACCTAAGCGAGGCTGGCAGAGCCCACGTGTACCGTAAAAAGGACAGAGGGAGGGACAGGTGGTCCCTGCGGCTTTGTGTGTTACTTCTGAATACGTGTGAAAGGCCCGAGACTTGTCATAGTGCCAGGAAAATATCTGCTTATGCTCAGAGGAGAGCAGGAGATCTATTACTGACCATTTATAAAGACATCTTGCCTAGAACTCATTTTTACCTCCAATCTGCTGTTTTAGGAACTTCTGTGATTTCAACTTTAAGAGCAAGCTGTTGTCAGAGTTCTTAACATGTAGGGGCGATTCTGACCTCATTAGGAATCTGATGAAAATGAAGTGTCTTCTCTTTGGGAAAATGGGCCTTCTCCAAAAGCAACTTCTGATTTTTCAATTTCACGGAACCATCTCCAGTCCGTCCCTTGTCATTATCACTAATATTAGTGATCACTGAACATGCTCCAGGCCCTCGACAAAGCACACACAATTCCTGACTTTGTGGAACTCCATTTCAGTGGAGGAAATGCCAGAAAATAAGAAGATAACTGAAATTATAAGAGATAATTGCTACAAAAGGAGAAGGGCTGGGGATTGGGAAAAAGAATCTTAAAGGAAAATAGTGAGTCAGACAAAGCATCTTAGGGGAAGCGGCGTGCAAACCAGACCTATAGAGTGAGTGTGGATTGGGGCAAACCATGGTAGGAAGAACATTCTGGGTGTGAGCAAAAACATGCACAAAGGCCTGGAGGCAGAAATGAGCTCATTGTTTTTGAAGCACTAAAGGAAAACAGAAATGTGACAGGAGGTACTGTGGAGAGATGAGCAGGGCCAAGGCTATGCAGGACTTGTTAAGGATTCTGGTCTTCATCCTAAGAGAAATCAAATGCCGTGGGCCAGCTACAAGCTGAGAAGTGGCAATGTATGATTTACATTTCTAAAAGGCCAATGGCTGCTATGAAAGGAATGAATTCTTAGAGGGACAAGAGTAGAACCAGAATAACCACTAATGAGGTCCTCGCCTCAATCTGGACCACAGAAGCTATGTAGAGCCTTCAAGGAAGTAGTGTGGACACATGTGAGATGCATTCTGGAGACAGAATTTTCAGGACAGACTGGATGCAGAAGAAGGGGGAGAGAAAAGGGTCAAGATCAATTCCCTGGTTTCTGATTTAAGGAACTAAATAAATGGAGGTGCCATCCTGAGTTTCGTTTGGCAGGTGGGTAGGGAACATTTAAAATCAAGAGTTCCGTTGAGGGCAGAAATCAAGAAGTTCAAGAGGTGTCAGGTAAGCAGCTGGATTTACCTCTAGGCTCAGGAGAAAAATCCAAGCCACAGATATGAAACAGGGGCATCGTAAAGAGATTGTACTTAAAACTTTGGGGGTGGATGAACCTCCTGAGGAGAGGGCCAAGAACCAAGCCCCGGGGAATGGTTAGCGGTCCAGGAGTGAAGGTTGTTGGGAAAGGAGCCTGGGAAAGTAGGGCCAACTTCTAACTTCCTGTCAATTCCTTCCCACAGTGGACGGAGGCTATGGCTATCTGAAGGACACCATGTGGTGGGCTGGATTTCTCACCAGTAAGTGGGTTCTCTTCCTACTAATAACAGTGGACTGTTGATAGCAGGAATGGAGAGGTAGTAGGGAGTGGATGAGGCATTTCTGCTTCTGATGTGGAAAGTACGAATGCAAGTCCAGATGCCTAGGGAAAAATTTTGATAATCTTGACATCTTGTTCTCATCTCAGATCATTTTCTCAACCCCATGTCGGGCTTCATCCATGAAACATCTACCCCAAAGAGGTTTGCACAGAGCCGATAATGGCACAGGTGTATTCTCATAACTTTCCTTGAAATATAGTGCAGTGATATCATTGCCTCTTGGCAGGGGCCCCGTTTACTTCTACATGGTAGAAGCTAGGACTCTAAGGCAACTTTCCTTCCACGGGCATTTAATTTGTTGGCCTTCTTTGATAGCTTGACTGCCACTTAAGCTTTGCCTAGATTTGGGACTCAGATATTTCTTCCACTTTCCACTTTCCCTTTCTGGCTATTGCCCTTAGTTCTTTTAGGTGGAAACTTTGTACTGATAACCCCTTTAAGTCAGAGTCTGACCCTAGTTCTAGGTGGAGCTGTCACAGTGATCATCTGCCTTCAAAGGGTGACCTTCCTATTATTTTCCAGCACCTAGAAAGAAAAGGCATCTGCAGGCATTTGCAGCCTGGAAACCCAGTGAGCCGAGTTCATGCGCCTTGGGAATGTCAGACTTTCCTATCAAGTGCCTGTCAGTTTAGACTGTTCACAGGTCCCCCAGGAAAGAGAGGTCCATGGGCGAGTTGCTCTCCAGAGAATCAATAGATGTAACATTCATTACTTGGTAATTAACCCTTTTTAGAGCTCACCTTAAAAGTAGAGAACAAAACGGACAGTTCCTGAGACATACTTAGCTGTGCCTGGACTAGGAACCAAGCCACAAGAAGAACAAGAAGACTTCTACCCATAAGCATCTCGTGTGACTCATCCTTACTGTCTTTAACATGGGAGGTCGGGAGGGTCTGGGGCTGACCTTCTGATCAGACTGTCCGAGGAGAGAGTGAAGGCTCAGCACTTTAAGGAACGCTGGTCTGCGATTCTGGGGATGGTTGCATAATGAATGAAGTAGCCTCTGCACAGACTCATCCAGAATGGGGATGGTTCCTGGGAGTCACAGTTGCCACTTTTCTTCCTTTATTTTCCAGTGGCTGCTGGAGAAGTTGCCAACTTCGGAGCCTACGCATTTACACCTGCAACCATTGTCACGCCGCTGGGAGCACTAAGCATCCTCATAAGGTTACTGTCACCTCGTAGCCCTCACTGGCTCTTTACTCTTTTCAGTTTGTCAAGGCATGGAATTACCAACTGGAATTAACTGCCACTTGGCATTCCGGCACCAAGGTCAGTGTCAGCCCCTAGAAAGAGGCACTGTGCTGTTTAGAGCTCTGAATCTGGATTGTTCACCACCACTGGCTCCAGCATCCTGTTCGCTCGTGGACTGTAGAGGGTCAGGCCAAGCTTAAACCAGTAGTAGGGCTTCTGCTGCCCCCAGGCTGACTGTCGCATGTGAATATTTTGGTGTCTCATTAGGAAAAGGTTGCAAATTAAGAGCATGAGCCCCAGATTTCTACTACAGGAGTTCTAATCCTCACTTAGTAGTTATGATGTCATGGGCAAGTCACTTAACCTCCATTTCCCTATCTACAAAATGGGGTTGCAGTAACCCCTGACGGGAGGCTCTGTTGCAAGGATGGAATGAGCTCATCCACAGAAGGTGCTTCGTACAGAACCAGCACCAAAGGGTGACCACAGCTGCCACAGGTCAAGGGCTTGCAGTGTGCTGAATGTTAGAATGCATTCTGGGGAGCAGCTCGTTTAATCCCTATGGCACTCTCACGTGACGGCAAGAGAGGTTAAGCAAATTGGCCACCATAAGCAGGTCCCGAGTGGCCAGGCCAGGATTCCAACTTAGATGGTTTGATACCATGGCCTGGATGCTTATCACAATGCCAAGCAGTCTCTCCAGTGAGCACTCAATTGATGATTAATAGTTTTTAAAATAACTGATTCCAGGCTTGGTGGTGCAGCCCTGTAGCAGATGGCTTGTGTGGCACACACAAGGCCCCGTATTCCAAGCCTAGTAACTGCAGCCAGTCAACTAAATGTGATACCTACGTTGTCCTCAGGCCCCTGAGCTTCAACTTAGAGTCAGCTCTTCTATGGGGGCTCAGAGCCCCATCTATCGGAGGCTTTGGGCATGGGGCTAATCTGGGAACTCTGGTAAATCCCTGCCAACCATGCCCGGATACCCACAATTTCCTCAGTTTTATTTTGCTGTCTTGACAACTTTGTAACATTTACACGGAAAACAAGTAGAACCATGACGCACGTTATACAACTGGCCTAGCTGATTTCACAGCTGACGTGGCTATGGTACTATTATCACACATCTGATGTTTACAAATTCCCAGTCCCAGGGAGTTGGGAGAGGCCTGGAATCCTCTGATGTGTCATCCTTGTCTGTGAAAATGCCACCAGACTCTCTGGAATGGGACGCTAGGTGAAACATGTTTACATTTTGACAGGAAGAGGGGAGATAGATAAGACAGTTTAGACCTCGGTGTCCCCTCTCACGAAGCCCTGAACCAGGAGTGTTTTGAGGCAGCCTGGATCCTAGGACAACCAGCAGATTTTACCCTAAACTAATATCACCTCTGTAAAGAAGAAGAAGCATGCCCATGGGTCACACCCTGCTTGCCCGATTTCCCTCATTCCCTCCCTCACCTTTACTGGCTCACCTTGAGGATGTAAGAAGAGCGGAAATCACATCACCAAGGTGTTAGAGGTATTGTGCCCAGAAAAGTGATAACTCAAGGAAGTCACAAGGGTTGACTTCAGTGAGGGGTAGAGGAAAACACTCTGGCTTTATACTGAAATTGAACTGGCGCTCACAGCTGGGTTCCACTGCTTACTAGTTCCACAACCTTGTCATTTTCATGCCTGTGAGACTCAGTTTTCTCATCTGTAAGACAGGAATAGTGTGTTTTACCTCACCAAGAGCTGTGAGGTGTCAGTGTGATAATACACGCAAAGCTTCTGGCACAGTACCAGGTAGGCAATGCAGGCCCCAGGTGGAGCAGCTATAATTGTCACTGAGGTTCTTTATGTTGACACCTACATGTGGTAGATTCATCCTGAATGAACCAAGAAGAAGTGGAACAAGGAGCAGACATTGCCAGGTGGTGTATTTTTGGCAAATAATTAGTGTGAGCCTACGCTATGCTCACTTGGCTTCTAAAAGGGTGAGCTCCCTGCTACCAGAGAGAACCTCCCCAGAATATACAAAGGGAGTTTGTTCTGTGGATGGAAGTTAGATGAGAACAGTTTGGAAGGTTCTTCTACCCCTTCAGTTTGGGGCTGCTTTTGGTATCAAAGAAGCACACCTGCATTTCTATTCATACAGCACGCGCTGTAACTATCTCCTAGAACCAAGTTTCTGTTTCACACACTGGGGCGTGGTGGGTGGGAAGCTTCCACAATTAGAGTAGTGAGTTCCGCTCTTCTGTTCTCTGAGTGCTCCCCTCCAGCCCCCATGGCTCTGCAAGACGCTGGACAGCCAGCGCTGTCCTAACGGCCTTCTCCCGATCTCCACATGCAGTGCCGTGCTGTCGTCCTATTTCCTGGGAGAGAGTCTGAATCTGCTGGGGAAGCTGGGCTGTGCCATCTGTGTGGCTGGCAGCACAGTGATGGTGATGCACGCCCCTAAAGAAGAGAGCGTAACGACTGTCGTAGAGCTGGCTTCCAAGATGAAAGACACAGGTAGGCTTCAAGCAGCAGGGGGAGGAGAAAACACGGGGAACCCTCTGAAGGTCTGACCATCTCTGGGCTGCCCAGAGGACAAAGCAAGCTAAAGAAAGGGAGTCAGAGGGCTGGTATGAGTTAGCAAGGCAACTGCACGGGCTTCCTCGCCCGAGGCACAAAAATACTTTCTTTTGTTAGCATGCTCCAGGAGCGGCTCTACATGCTTTTCCTTATCAAGGGTCACAAAACAGCCCTGCATGGATCCCGTGGTTGGACCTCTTTTACAAATGAGGAAGCTGAGGTCTTGGGTGTTCAGTAACTTTCTGAAGTCCTTTAAAGGTTCGAAGCTGGAATGGAGACCCGAGTTTGTCCAAATGGAGAGCTGCTTCCCCTTCTTGTGGGTACTGGGCTCTAGGTGCTGTCCACATGCTTCACAGCTGGAGTGATCTGTGTCCCTCCCTTCCTGCAGGGTTCATTGTCTTTGCTGTGCTTTTGACGGTGTCCTGCTTCATCCTCATCTTCATCATCGCCCCCCGTTATGGACAAAGGAATATCCTCATTTACATCATCATCTGCTCTGTGATTGGGTCCTTCTCTGTGATTGCTGTCAAGGGCTTGGGCATCACCATTAGGAACTTCTTTCAGGGGTTGCCAGTTGTGCGGCACCCTCTGCCCTACATTCTGTCCCTCCTCCTGGCACTTAGCCTCAGCACTCAGGTCAACTTCCTCAACAGGGCACTGGACATTTTTAATACTTCCCTGGTATTCCCCATCTACTATGTGTTTTTCACTAGCATGGTTGTTACCAACTCCATCGTCCTGTTCAAGGAGTGGTACAGTATGACCGCTGTGGATATTGTGGGCACCCTGTCCGGCTTTGTCACCATCATGTTGGCTGTGTTCATGCTTCATGCTTTCAAAGACTTGGATATCAGTAGCACCAACTTGCCCCATACACACAAAAACCCCACCCCATCTCCTGCCCCAGAGCCCACCGTCATCAGACTGGAAGACAAGAACATCCTCGTGGACAATATAGAACTCGCCAGCACCCCATCACCAGAAAAGAAGCCCAAGGTATTTATAATCCACTCGTAAAGCATGGAATACACAAGTGAGAGGATGGGGCTGATGGTGCAGCCTGAACTCAAGTTTAGAACCACCTGGCTGTTTCAACACAACTGTTGCCCATGGGCTGTGTCTTCGGGACACGTTGATTTATACCTCATCACTGTTGTGAGGAGAAAAAAATTCCCTACCCAATAAGTGCTAGTCACAGCACTTCTTGGAAATAGACTCAGTGACCACGGTGACAATGGAGCCAACATGTACCCTGGGCCTCTTTCCCACTGGTTCTCTCTGCACCATCCATGTTATTAGGAGAGGATAGTACTATGACTTGTTGAATGTAGCACAGTCCAAGAACTCCCTGAGAGTCTGGGCATCAGGAAATCCTTCAGACCATTTCTCCTCCCGAGACTGAGTCTCCATTCCTTATCCCAATAATGCAATAGCTCTGGCTCCCAGAAGTCCAGAGCAGTTTGTTAGCCATCCTGTCTGGAGTCCATGGGCACACAAGCAATGCAAAGTAGCCTTTTGGCACTTACTGTTGGAAACAGAAACAGGACCCCAGCTGATTTTCTTACTGTGAAAGCCACCTGAAGTCTCAGGGCAGTTTCACCCAGCCCTTTCCCAAGCATGCAGGCCTGGCCACCAGCATCTTGGTGTCTTGTTCCACTGTACCTGCCACCCCTTCCCTCTCAGTGCACATCCCAAGGAGCCAGTCACTGAGATAGGCAGGCTGTAACCCTACAACTCAAAACAGCAATGACAGCAACTGTAACAAAGCCCTCACGGTCAGGCTCTGCTTGCCAAACCCATCCCATTTTGCCTTGCTCCAGAGAGAGAATAGCAGGTGCACTGCTCTCAATGGTGCCCACAATGTAGAGCTGGAATCTGGCAGGACACACTTTCCTCATCTACAAGGGGTCAACCACAACTTGATTTGGGAAGGTGGGGAAAAGTATAAGGTATGGAGTTGGGGCTCAGCAGAAGGCAGTTAAGGCTCTCTGGAAATCGGGGCTGCCTCACTAGGAACCCAGGCATAAAGCGATTTCTGGGCTGTAGCCCCTGAGGCTTGGCCAGTGGGATCAGCTGTGAATCTCGGTGACTAAGTAGGGTGTGGGCTTGGCATAGCATACCTGGTGGCTGTTGACCAGATTTTCCATTGTGTGTCCAGTTCCACCGATGAGCTGTCCACATGGAAGCAGCACACCAGGACTTACCCAATACCACTGCTTAGGGACCTTGTCCCCTCATATTTGGCCAGAGGCATCCACAGAATAAGAACAGCTGAGGAGATGTCATTGTTACCCCTTCCCCTTTTCTAGCTGCAAGAGCGTGAAGAGAACAAGGACCACGGAAAGGGACGTTAAGGAGCCAGTTCATCAGAGGGAGGAAAGAATAGATCCTCAGCCCTACACTGAAGCAGAGACCCTCACACGAGTCCCTGTCTGCGTTCAGTGTTCACATCTCGTGCCCTAAGTGTGGCCAAGTCCCCGCCTCTCCTGCTGGCCCTGGAGCTCCAAAGGCTCAGGGGATCCACATTCTGGCTCCCTGCATCTACGGCTTCAACTGTCCAGTTTTTGTTTTTGGTACCGGGATTGAACTCAGGACCTTGTGCTTGTGAGGCGCTGATGGAAATCCCTGGCTCTCCCCAGTTTTTAATGAATGTGATTTCTGCCTGTGACTAATATCAGCGCAGCACTACAGATCTCACGAATGACAGTAAACTGAGAGCCCTGAGAGTGTGAACTGCAGGGTTGACGAATCAAACCTCAGAGTATGTTTATTTGACATCGTGCCTTGAACTTCTGTGAATACGTAACAGTTAAACTTGTTCTTCTGGTGCTCGGAGACCAGTCCCTGATCTCTGAAAACAGGGCTGCCAAGAAAAGCCCTCCAGCATCTTCTGTGGCTGTGCGGCCACTTAGAGTGGGACTGGCTGTGTTTAGGAGAGTTCACCAAAGACGACTGCTCCCTAGTTAAACCCTGAGTCCTTGCCAGGCTCCGGGAATAGTAGGTGTTCCGTGTGAATTGTCTCTTCAATGCCTCTCAAACTCCCAAGGTAGATAATATTTCTTAATCCATAACCAGAAAGGGACTCGAGTTAAATAAATGGCCAGGGTCAGTCACCGAGCCAGGAGGAGATGAAGCTGCTCTCTGTTTCCAAGGCTGCAGTCTCAACACCACACAGTGTATCTCCCCAAAACACTGTATTTGACCCCTACAAGCATAATCTGATACTACATTATTTCCTTGTGATCTTCATCTGAATGTAAACTTCAAGAGAGCTTGTCCTGGTTCATTGCTTACCCTCGGTACCTAGTACACAAATGACATTCAAAACAAATCTGTTGGCTTTTAATGAAGGAACAACTCCATTCTAAACGGTCCTTCTTTGTCCAGAGTTATTTGGGGACCAGTTTTGTTTTGTTTTGCAATCCTGGGGATCAAACCCAGAGCCTTCCACAGGCCATCCACAGCCCACTTTCTATTAATATTGAAACAGGGTCCTACTAAGTCACTAAGTTGCCGGGCCAGACTCAACTTTGTTATCCTCCTGGCCTGGCCCCCCAGAGGACTGGGATTGTGGGCGTATCCCACCACCCCTAGTTTGGGGACCATCCCTGAACCCAAGCCACATCCTTGCATCATCCTACAAACCTGGTGCAGTTTGAGCTCTCAGTCTGGCGGGCTCTGTGGAGTGCCTTCACAGAGAGCACCTCTTTCAGCATTACAGCCTTCTGAGGGAGGTGTTTGCATTAGTCAGCTTTCTATCACCATAACAAATATCTGAGATGATTTGCTTATAAAATGAAAAGACTTATTTTGGCTTACAATCTTGGGGATTCCAGTTCCTGGTCAGTTGGCCCTGTTGCTTTGAACCTGTAGCAAGGTAGCCAAGTAATGGAGGGGGTGTGCGACAGAGCAAAACTCACCTGTGGCTGGGGCGTGAAACAGAAAATGAGGAGGGGGAGAGGAGGCGGGGGTCTCTCAGTCCCTGCCTTGGGGCAAACTCTCAATGCTCTTCCCACTAGATACCACCTATTCATTTACTTTCTTCCATCAGCACTTCCCTGGCGAAATGAGCCTCCAACACTTGGGAGGTCTAAATATTACCCCCATTTGTATACAAGAGACTCAGAATTCTAGAATTTATCTAGGCTCATGCATCTTTTAAGTAGCAGAGCTAGGATGTGAGTCCAGGTCTGTCTGGCCAGACGTTCTGGATTAGACCACTAACCAGTGAGTGACCTCATCAGCACAGACACTGGCCACCAGAGGGATCAGAATGGCCTGTGAAGCAGGCAGAGGTGTTTGGGTAGGGTCTAATCTCGTCAGTGGTAAAAGCATTTGGGTTTAGATGGCTGTAGTGCCTTATGCAAATGTAGAACTTGAAGTGTTGGCTCCTCTCGGGGCTATCAGTAGTCCGTCTCCTCAGATGACCTCAAAATGAGGTGAGGATTCAGTGAGAATCAGGGTGGATTTGATATGAGCCGTGTTCTCTACCACACAGGCTCTGGTACCAGTTGGCACACATGGCCTGGCCCTGGCTACACCTGCCCAGCCAGCCTCAGAGATCTTGGGCAAGTCTCTCCCTAGCATCATCCTTAGCAATAAGATGAGTGAACACAGGGTCAAAGCAGTCTTCTAAATACAGTAGTGGGGGAGGAGAAGAAACAGATCTGAAAATCTCAATATCATTCAGGCTTCTGATGATCCAAGACCCAATTAAACCAGAGCCGGACCTATCCAGGTGCAAGGACAAACAGCCCCCTCTACTGGTCACGGGAAAACATGGGGCTTCATGGTGGTTCCTGGTCTACAGTAATGGCCTTGAGTCTGGACGGAGGGGTCCTTGTGAGAACTTTTTCTGAGGTGTAAAGTCATGGATATCTGGCCCAAACAGTGGGATAATGAAACACACACACAAAGAGTTGTCAAACCTGGTAACATTTCAAATGACAAACAATTCATTTTAATTAAATACAAACGAGGGGGAAAAAAGGCACCATGGCCCATTCAAGTATTTTGCATAGATGTACAAATATTTGTAAACAATACGTGGACAAGAGAGGAGGATCTGTAATCCATGAAGGATCTCTCTCAAATCAAAAGAAAATTCACATTGCCCTGAATCCCAGACACATACACAAAATGGGTGGCACAAGAGGATGCTAGAGGGTGGCGAGGTGGGGGGGCGTTGCTTTGGACTCTGCAGAGCCTCTCTGTCTCAGGCCTCTCTAGAGATGGGACACCTTTCCAGTTGGCAATTCCTGAGCTGGCTTAGGTGTACAGCAGAGCTGTTGTGCATGCATTTAACACAATTACCGCTTTTAGAACTGGTCCCCAATTCTTCAAAGTCTCCCATACCTTCTGTCAAATAAGAATAAATCAGGTCATACCTAAGAGGAGACTTCATTAAAAAGGATTACTGCAAGCAGCCAGGAGATACTGCAGTAAGAGAGGGGACTATTGCAATGCAGAGAACATTAAGACCATAGGCTCTGTAAGAGCTCTGTTTCAACCATAAAAGTCAACAAGGCTAAAAGGAATCTAAGGCAAGCAAGAAGTTGCAACACAGAGCTGGGGGGCCCAGGGCAAACCTCCCACAGAGGCAGAGACGGGGCTCTATCTCCCTGACACGTACATTTCAGCGATGGCTTCAGGCCCCTAAAAAATATTCCAAGTGTTGTAAAACTGGCAGGAGGAACCATTTAGCTTCTAAAAAGATTTACATCCTTTTTCTCGAGCAAACCATTGGTTAACCCAACAGACTAAACTTCAGTTAAGTTTCCCTCCTCCCCACCAGACGGTGGACTTGGACCCACAGTCAGCCTGAGTCAGAAACATCTTTTAACAGAGAGCCCCTTCCCAAAAAAGGCTAGGCCCGCAGACGTGCCCTGGGTGCAGTTTTCTCTAGCTGAGTTAATTCCTCCCAACAAGAGAAAAGGCCTTTTCTGCCTGGCTTGAGAATCCATGCGGATTTGACGAAGGGTCTGTGCATGCAGTAGTCCCCCTGCTCTCCCTAGGGCAGCGTTTTCATTCCCCTCCTTGCAATAATCCTTCAGACTGAAGTCCCTGCTTCCCCGTCTCAACATCAACGTCACTGTATTTGCATTTGACACCTTACTGCGGCACACTGGCAGGGGAGGGAAGGGGGATGCAATGGGAACTCTTCTTCCCTGGCCTGCAGAAAAATGACTTCCAGCTCCCCGAACAGAGCGAGATGTTGATGGTCAAAAGAACTGGCTGATGAAGTAGCCATCAAGATCAAATAATTCTACCATCTTCCAGTTCACAGTATAATTTCATGGGATGGAGGTGGTATTAAAATGATGAGGGAGGGAAAAAAAAAAGTGCGAGAGAACAGCAACCAGGACACTTCCTGTTATGGCACTGGTGACGTGGATTTCAGGTTCAGAAGGCTCATGGAGTCCCCACGGCTCTGCACTGGCACTTCAGACCCACTGCTCCTGATGTGAGGAGAAAGGCTGCGCAGGCCACAGGGACTTCGAGGAGGTACAGGGATGGGCTTAAGGACAGCTTGCCTGTTTATGGGGAAGGAGTGGGGGGCACCTTTTCTGGGACCAGCTTCGAGGCACAGAGCGTTTGCTACAGCACACTTAAAGGAGAGGTTGTCTTCTGGCAGCAAGATGGTGAGGATTGCACATGGGGTCAAGGAGGTCTGCGCCAGGGAGACAGGAACCCAACTCACTACCACCCTGAGGGAAGGAAATGCATTTTCCTGAGATCTTTCTAAACCTACCCCATGTTTTCCCGAGCACGTGTGTCCCACAAATCCCACTGGCCTACAAACCCAAGAATGTAGCGTGCAGAGATCTACTACAAGGAGGCCTTGGGGTTGGGGGTCAAAAGCTCAGCCTCCTCCCTGTATTGAGGTTTTGAAGAGCAAATAGCTGCTCCTGTAGGAGGTGGGAAGGCCCCTGGAAGACCCTCAAAGGAGTGTACACTAGGCCAGCTCACCTCAGGAGAGCCACCCAGCACCTCTCAGGAGGCGGGGACAGTCTGAGACCATCCTCAGGGGCTATGTAAAAAACATCCTATCCAGCAGCTCGCCACACCGCCCTCCTGCTGGGCTCCTCTGGAGCCCAGTCTTCCATCCGCTCGGAGCTCCTTCTGTGATGCTCGGGAAAGAGAACTGAAGCACGTGAATAAGAGAAGCCTTGTGGGAAGAAGGAGCAGGGTCCCCCGTTCAGAGGGTTCCGCCATGGCTGCGGGTGGCTGCTGACTCTAGGCATCTCTGACGGATCTTTTGGTTAGAAATAGCTCTCTTCTCCGTTCAGAGGACAATGGTCCCACCTTAAGACAGTGAGCAGACCGTCAGGGACAGATTGGCTCCCTAGTGTGTACTTTGAAAAGAGCTGGGCTTTCAGGGATGTCTGTTCCCTTTACCACATGGGCTGCCATCCCTGGAAGACCTCACCTAGACGTCGGTCAGGGTGTAAGGAGGAAGACCCTCATGCTGCTGAGGTCACAGAACACAACGAACACAAACGTAAGACTCCCACAGCCATGCCCTGAGTCCACTCTGCTCAACACTCTGGGGATCCAGCGGAAGACGTGGAATGGCCAGCGCATGAGGCAGGACCCTGACTCGTAGGTCACAAGCACCTGGTCCCTAAAAAGGACTGTTGAGGGTCCACTCACCAAAGCACCATGCATTACAGTGGGCCTGAGGGGGAAGGAGAAGACAGAATCACGGAGCAGTGGGAGAGAAAGAAGAGACTACAAAGAGCAAACCAGTAATTAGCAAGACTTCACCTTTGGCATGATGGCTCAGAGGAAGCCCAGGTGTGATGCTCCCCCTGCTGTCTACACTGCCTACAAATAGTACCTGTTTGAGTCAGAGTGACTCATGTGAATAGGGGATGTGGGGAGGGGGCGTGGCTTGTCACATGCAGCCACACAGTCGGGAGCCTCAGCCAAACCCTGGGCAGGGCCACAGAGATATCTGGCTTGGCCCTTCCTCAACCCCTAAAAGCTGAAAAGGAGAAGGTAACGGCCCAGTCTCGGTCCAGCCTGGGGCCTTGGAGGGAGACAGAAGCAAAAGACGCTCTCGTGCGGACGTCCACCACAGGACCTGCATGGACAGCCTCTCCAAGGAAGCCCCGGCCGAGGGGTTGAGCGTGGCTTCTCCCACTTGGTTCGACGGCTCTGGTGGTTCTGGCCATCTCCGTCAGACCTCTGGGCTGGGAGGGGAGATGGAGAAGCTGCCGCTCGGCCTCTGCTGTGTGCTCCCCTCCCCACCTGGGCTGTATATTGCACAGACCAACACTGAGAAGCCATCAGGTAATAAATAGTCCCTCTGGGTCTCCGAGGAGCATGAGGAGGCACTGAATCAAGAAGGGAATTGTGGTGTTTCCAGGAAAAGGGCAGGAGGAGCTCAGAGGCAGCCAGACACGATTCTTCCGGTTCCCATGGTCACGGATCCTTGCGGCATCAAGAGCCATCGAGGAAAGCGAGAAACCTCTAGACCGGTCTAGATTCTGGAGCTAGTCATCGCCCTAGTCCTCTGCGATCTGAACTCGGGGAACTGGAAAGAGAGACAGGAGGGAGAAAGACATCAGCTTGATGCCAGCCTCTGGGACCAGCGGGAGCTGCCATCTCACTTCTGACAGCTGGGAAGGACAAGCACAGCACCCGCTGGGAAGAGAGGCTTCCTGCTCCTGCAGAGGTCTGTGTATGGCTGCTCACCAAGACCACAAGTGTGTGGAGAGGAGAGGCATGGCGGGCGGCCCCACCTCGAGCTGATGCCTCACCTCCATGCATTTCCTGGAACCTGTCACTGAGCTTCCTCACCCCCTCCTTTTCCGACCCCACTGCCAGGACTGGGAAGCTAAAGACCACCAGCCACAGAGAAAGGGTAGGGAGAGGGTTCGCCATGCACACCTCCCACAGCCCAGGAAGTTTATATGCATTAACTGCTTTGATCTTCACAGCACCCAGAAGACACTAGCTAGCTCTAGCTGCTTCTTATGCTTTCTACAGACAACGAAATGCAGGCGCAGAGAAGACTTGCTCAGCTACCTCAGCCAGTTGGCCACAGCTGCAGGTTTAAAGCCAGCACAGCCTGGGCATCTCCTGTCAACACGAAGCCTAAAACGCCCTCTTATTACTTTGAGAGAGTCAAGAAGATACCAAAAAATGCTCAGCTTTTCTTTGTGGCTGTTATTCTGGCAAGAAGCAGCACGATGTGGTTTGTTTCCTCAGCTACACAGGCACTGGCTGTGGCCCTCTGCTTTTCCCCTAGACTCACCTTTGAAGCAGGTGCTACCAGAGGCTGGGCCTGCTGGGGTTCTGGCCTGGGGAGGGTCCTGCGGCCGGGCACAGGGTTTGCAGGAAGAGCCTTCTGGGGTGGCCGAGGCCTGGAGAAATCCTGTAGGAAAAGCAGTGGGCCTCAGTTACAGGCCAGAGGAGCCCGATCTAAAGAAAACAGTCCTGATAGCTTACTGATCAAGCAAAAAAAAAAGAAGTATACACTGCATGGTCCCACTTCGACAGGAAGTGTGTGTATGTGTGTATGTGTGCACCCAATGCCCAGGAAAAAAAAAAGCCTCTGTGGAGAGCAAGTTGACAGCATCTATACAATTAGAAATGACCTGTCTCTGATTAGAAAATTCACTCCCTGCTGCCCCCGTTAGAGAACTATTGGAACAGGTACCCAAAAAGGAAGTTGTGAGGATGTGCTCCGCTGTACTGTTTGTGACAACAAAGAAAGGCTACATTTCACCGATTGATAAAATAACTAAAATTATAAAATGATACACGATGTAGCATTTAAACAGAATAAAGTAGGTTGATGTGGGCTGCTGGGAAGAGATGCTTAAGAGTCATTGCTAAGTGCAAAAAGCTGAAGTCCAAGCTGCAGGAGAGAGTTTATATAAAACACATCCTACGGTCCCCCGATATAGACGTCAATGAACAGAGAATAGTCAGTCTGAAAGGATACAGGGGACGCTGATAACTGAGGTCACCCTGGGAAGGGGTGTCAGTAGGGACAGCAGCGGTCTAGGTGAACATTCAATGCTTTTTTTAAAAAAACAAGGTCATGGGTGCACTGTCTGGTCAAAAAAAGAATAAGCCTACAAAAGAAGAAACCAGATTTCTTCCCACATTGGTTGTTTATAAGTAGCACAACTAACAGGGATTCTTTGTGGATTAATGTTACTTTTACGTTTCCGTCATTCTCAACAAGGCTTTTCTCTTATTTAAAATCAATGCAACCCCCTCACTGGCACCTGGCACTCCGACCCTTCCATCCTAACCCACTTTTTTCTTCTTTGCCCCTTTCCAGTACACATTATTTCTTCACGTCTCAAGTGGCCTCTGTGCTTGTCTCTCCAGCAGGGGCAGAGGTCCTGGTCTGTGGAGCTCACCGATCCATCTCAAGCTTTCAGAGCTAGGTTAGGTATCCAGAAAGTCTTAAACACCTATTAGATGCATACCCATGCTAGTCAACTTTCTTCAAATAATTATGCATTTCTGCACTAGCCAATTTTTTTGAAATCTATATTTCTGCTGTGGCCAAAAAAAAATGTTTTTAAGGGGCAAAGTGGACCACTCCCAAGCTGGTGGCGTTTAGGGCTGGGAAAGTAGCTTAGTTTAAGAGCATTTTCCTACGACGCACCAAATCCTGGTCTACGTCCCCAGGAGTGAGGAAAAGAGGGAAAGAGGAAGGGAGGGAAGGGACCCTATTTATTGATTTGTTCCTTTTCTTGAGAGAGCTGCAAATGAGCATAAAAATGGCAAACGGCAGGCACGCAAAGAGGGCAGAAGCAGGGTGCACAGCCAAGGTTTTCCGTGAGAATCTTTGGTCAGAAAACTGAGAGCAGACACTAAAGCTCAGAGAACAGGAGAACAAGAAATTCATGTGGCCCAAATGTTAAGGACCTGACGCCGCCATTTCGGGCTGCGTTTCCGGGTTCTTTAGGCCTCCATGCCACTATCTCAAGTTTCCTTTTCCCAAGGCTACGATAGTTTAGAAAAATGAAACAGCTTCTGCAAGGCTAAGTCCTTAAAAGGCAACCTGGCCTGCTCACAGATATGCAAGAGCCCAGCCCAAAACCAATAAAAGGACCATCCTTTCTTTGTTCTCTCCCTCTGTCCCTCTCTCCAATCTGCTCTCCTGAACAAAGTCTCCTGTCCGACCTCTCGGTGTGTGGCCTTGTTGTTCAGCGTTGCTGTTCCTCTTCAACAAGAGCCTTGTTCTTCAGCTTCAACCCTCCCTCCAAAGATGAGACCCCGCACCCTCCCTGCTCGGGACACTCAACTGCCTGGAGGCCAGGACTTCTCTCTGGCTTCCAGGGAGAGCGAAGACAGCTGGGTGCAGATGTCAGGTTGCAGAGCGAGCTGCTAGGGGCTTGTTATCTGGGCGGGAGCCTTATCAGCTGTCAGCACTGGGCCTCCCAGGGCTGCAACCTTCCTTGGGCTACCTCTGATGTGACCCAGCTCAGTTGGCCCAGGGGCCTCACAGTCTCCTTCCTCAGGGGCGCTATCTCCCAATCGGGTTTCACAAGCCAAAACCTGGGGTGTCATCCCCTGTCTACTCAATTGGCAGTGTCTGTCTGTCTTTATGTATTTCTTGTCAGCTTCTCTCCGTCACCCCTGCTCACCCTCAGCCTCCAAGCTACGACCATCTTTCTTCAGGACAACATTTATACCTTTGAACCAGTAAGCCCATCAGAGTAGCACTTTCATTTTCTGAAACTGTTCCTTTAGCTCTAGTATAATATACACATAAAAGGCGAACAATATATAAGTAGGAGAGAAACGATCAACAAGTGAATGCACGTACATTATCCCACCCAGGTCAAAAATTGGAAGACCAACAGCCCCAGGTGTCTCCCAGACCTCACACCTTCCTCCTGCCTCAATGGAACCCAAAGAACTGACTCTTGGCACTGTCAATCCCCATGTCTCTCCTGCTACCACTGTCCCCTTCTCGTGGAACACAGACAGACCCAAATCCTGACCGCGGCTGTGTGGCCCAAGCAGTCGGCCCCTCCTCCCCATCAGTCTTATCCCACAGATCCTGGGGCCCAGGCCAGCAGGGCTTGGAGTTCCTCCAGCCTGTGGGGCTGTCCATTCCCCCTTCTAGGAAGGGGTCTCTGCCCGCCCCTCACCCTCACAGCCTGGGTGACTCTTGTTTCTCCTCTGGGCCTCAGCTCCTCAGGGAAGCCTTCCCGATTTTCCCAACCAGGTCAAGTCCGCTGCTACTGAGCATCCCCAACCTCACTGCACAGCAGTTTCCACTGCTGTAACTGCAGAGCCCCAGAGCCTCTGCCCTGGAAGAAGGCGGGTCTGCTTCGCTCACAGGTACCCGGAGGAAGTGGCACACGGCCACAGAAAAGGCAGAAGAGGGATGGACTTTCAGCTGCCACCTCTCCAGAGCAGCCAACACCTCTGCTAGAAGGGGTGGAGCCGAGAGCCTGAGAGGGCGATGCCCTGGGTCAAGGCCTGGCCGTCCCACTCACAGACGGTGCCGTCTTGGATGAGTCCTTCAACCCTGTCAGACTCAACAACTTGGGTAAGAAAGGACGGTCGGAACACCGCAGTGCTGCCCTGCAAAAGAAGGCCCATCTTGCCTGCAACCTACTCTCAGAGCGGTGGCCTCCACTGCCTGCCCCACCTTGCACCCCCAGGCCAGGAGCAGCTGTGCTGGGAAGGTGCTTGTGGAGACACTTGACACTGGCTCAACGCCCCCCCCCCCGCATCCAGAGAGAGCGGGAGCAGAATGGCAGGCAGAACCTGGGCCTGTTTCCCACTCTCTTGCCTCCTGCTGCCCCTGACACCCCTAAGCTAGTGCTCAGCACCCTGGGGAGACACAGAGTGAGACCGGCCCTCCTCCTCCCATTCCTTGAAGAGCACCCAGGGGGGTTTTCAGGAAAGATGCTCGGATGCACGGCTCACTCCCTCTTCCTCCTCCAGCACCTCTGCTCTTCTTTCTCGCCCCTGTTTCTCTCCACCTCTTCCTTCCTTTCTCTCTGCTGTGGGCTGAAGTGTGCATGTGCCCTCCCAGGATCGTGGAATGGGCCGTATTTAGAGGTAAGCCTTGGAAGAGGTGATTAAGCTAAAATGAGGCCATTCCGGTGGGCCCTAATCCAACCTGGCCTCTTGGCAGGAGTGCAGTGGGTCACTCAGACTCCACAGATGCACGAGGACAGGAGAAAGGCCATGTGAGGACACGGTGAGAAGACGGCAGTACGCAAGCCAAGGACAGAGGCCTCAGGAGAAGCCAGTACCTTGATCTTGGACCTCCAGAAGTAGGAGGAAAAACTTATCTGCTATTTAGGCCACATTTTGTCACGGCAGCCTTGGAAAGCAATACAATCCGCAACGCCTCCCCTCTTTTCCTTTCTTCCTTTTCTCCCTCCTTCTCTCTCCTTGGGAATCCTTCCCCTCCCTTTCGGCATGGACTTTCCCATCACACCCCTGCCGTACACTGAAGAAAACAAAAGGACAGCAGAGAACCAGAACGAATGCCCTCAGCCCTGGCAAACTGCCCCACACGCCAGGGCCCTGCAAAGCCTGCAGCTAACCCCACAGTCCTTCAAACTGGAGCAGCCCTACGGGAGACCGCGGGCCCATGGCCAATAAAAGCGGCCTCACCCAAAACACACACGCCAGTCTCAGAGGGTATCTACCCGGCCACCACCCCGGAAACACCTGTGTCTGCACCAGGGCACTCTGCCAGAACCAGGTCATCTGGGCACCACACGCCGAGGGAACGGGCCACTGGGTGGGGCTCTGCTTCCACAAGCATCAGTGCTGGAGGAGCCTGCACTCCCTCTGCTCCCAGAGGCCCCGACCCTTGACCTGTCCCCCAGGGAGCAAGGCCTCAGGCTACATCCCTCAGAAAGGTTTCCCTTTTAGCAGAGACACTTGCAGGTACACTTCAGGCAGATACGATGAGGACAGCAGTACAGGGGTGTCCAGCTCAGACTGGAGGGCCCAGGAAAGGCCCCTGGAGGAGAGGCATCTAAGCGTGTGTCTGAGGGTGAAGAGCTGTCCAGAAGCAGCTCGTCAGGCAGAACAGCATTTGCAAAGACTCAGAGGGGAGGAGAGCCCAGAGAACTGCAAGAAGTTCATTTTGGGTAGTAGAAGGTGGTAGTTTGTTGTTCTAAGTCCGCTGAGCAGGAAGGAAATGCTCTCTGGGGATTAGGGGACGTCTGGGGAGTATATTTCCGCACACTCATCACTCTAGTTTTCTACAAGTTCCCTGGATTCCCCGGAATTCAGAAAAGGCAGCCAGCTCAGACCATTCCTTCCTCCCGGTCTTGGACATTACCCATGGCAGGTGCTGCGAATCCACTTACCTGGGAGAGGATGCAGTTGGGTGCTGGAGGCACAGGCCGGTTTGGGGGAGGTCTCCGGGCTGATTCCTTTCTCTCTACTTGAGATGCAGCCCCCGGGGAGCTCCTATCAGTCCTGCTTAGATGGGCTAACAGTGGAGTAGGTAAACACCCACCATGCAAGTAGTCTGGAGGGGGCCGGGGCGGAGGCTGGGAGGGCTTCCTCAGGGCTTCAGGGGTGCTGGTCACCTGTGTGTGCAAAACGAGGAACTCCTGAGATGAGGAAGAGGTGATGTGCTTAAAACTCAGGTGCACCCTCTGAGTCTCATCGAGATGACCGTGGGTGGGATTGACAGCCTGGCCTGTTAAACTCTCAGGGATCTTAGAGGTCAGATGCAACTTTTCAGGTAATCAGGGGACAACAGAATCAACAAGTGTATCTCTCCAGCCAATAAATGGCTTCTATTACCAATCCCATGGGTATTAGGAAAATCCAGGAGAGGCTTGCGGGATAAAGAGGAAGTAGCAAAGCTCACCAGTGCACAGCCCTTACCTTTCGCTTGCCCTGGGGTGTTTGCAACTTGAAAGTTGGGTTGGCATGGCCAGTTCCACCATTCGGAGACACCCTAAAGGGACAGCTGGAGACACAGAAGAGGGGAGGAGGGGCAGGTTAAGCAAGGGGCAGGGACAGAGTCCTTTGGACGGCTCTCCCGAGGCCTACTGTGGAGGAAGCGCATTGGCTCTCTGAACCCCACCTTCCTCGTTAAGGACAGTGTGTGTGGCCAATGGAGAACTCACAAGGAAAGAGTTAGCCTTGTACACTGCAGAGCTTTCTCAGCACCTCCTCTTCACCTGTCAAGGAACTTTAGTTCCTAAGCAGACACAGGATATCACCAGCCATCAACCAAGCCACCTCAGGCATGAATTTGAAAAGACATGGGATTTAAATCCTTTTCGGAACAAGTGTAACTTAACAGAAGACTCAGTTGTCACAGAAGACATCTTCAGTGACCAGCAAAATGAATCACTTAGGAAAAAAATCGATTTTCTTATTGGGTTGCTTCTAGCCACCCCTGTCTTTGACTTGGGCTAGTCCTCCCTTCTCTATTGCCTAGTTACCTCCTCTTCAAAATGGAGGATGCCAGGCACGGTGGCGCATGCCTGTAATCCCAGCATTTGGGAGACAGAGGCAAGAGGTTTGCCATGAATTTGAGTTTGAAGCCAGCCAGTGCTATGCAGTGAATTCAGCCTGAACTACATAGTGAGATGCTGTCTCAAAAAATGTAACTAAATAGATAGATAAACTAATTAGATATAGAATGGCAAATTTTATATTTCGATTTGAATTGGAGTGAGCATTGTGCCGAGGATTTGAAAGTGATAAACATGCTCAGTAAAGACGGCCTACAGTGAGATCATCTAGTAATGTCTGTCACTGGGAACTATTTATAGCGAGATCATCTAATAATGTCTGCCATGGTCACAGAGCACAGCATATAGAAGGGGAGAGAAGGCGCCATGTACTTCCATTTGCCTGTCTTTCTGCGTTAGACCCACTACCACAAACTCACTCACTAAGTGCTGCTCACAGACAGCTTTGCAATACAGAAGGGGACTCGAGCTCTTCATGGCACCCTTTCGTACCTGAATTGCTGTATCAGCTTGGAAGGGAGGACAGAGGGCTTGAGTGGGCCCAGCTTTCTGTTCTGCCTACAGTAGTAGATCAGCATAAGGACGGCCAGCAGGAAGAGGGCGCTGAACACACCGGCGATCACAGGACCAATACCTTCCAGAGGAACCGAAGGCAGAGATTTAGAGGTTATCCAGGCTACAGCAAGACAAGACACTCCTGATTCTTCTCCCACATTGATTCACATTTAACTTGTTTTACTCATTTTATCTTACAAACTATAAAAACTACAAATTATATACTACCAGAACACCTCCAGGGTGCTGTGTGTAGACATTATAATATAAAGGCCCCGTAGCCACTTCTATTTCATTGAAAAATTCTCTTTTGAGGCAGGCAATTCAGGCTTTATTATCATTTGCCAATAGTTTTCAGCCTGAGCCATGACTTTTCTGGACACAGAGCAATGAACACAGAACACTGACAGACTTAGACTGGCATAAGACTAGAGCTCTCATCCTTGATTCACAATTCACATTTTGTTTAATCAAAACTGCCTCAACATTCTCATGAATTATAAATTTAAACATACAAATATATTTGCTCTAATGAGATATACTTTCATCTGTTCTACACATTAGGATTTCTTCCTTGAAAGAGGTCTAGATTCTGTGAGATTCCCACTAAAAGTCTAAAACTTTCCTCACTGTAGTCTTTGCTCATGATTATTTTCAAGCGCCCCAAAAAGGACTTGACTAGTCACCACCCCAACCCCCAAAACAGATGTGGACAGCCAGTGACCTACGACTTTCCTTAATCTCTCACTCTAATAAGCAGGTTCGGCCTCCTCAGTTAAAGGAGAGAAGAGTGACCAAGGAAGTACCCACATCAGCTGCCTGCCTTGGGCACCATCCCACCTGACCTCTCCTTATCTCAGTTTCCTCATCTCCAAAGTCGGGAGGCGGAAACAGCCTCAGTGTGGACACTCTGCAAAATGACACCCGTCCCCACGGTGTCCACCCTTCTCACAAAGACAGGCGGAGCCCTCAAGCGGCCAGGCACTCACTGTTGGGGGGCATGGGCCCACTGTCTATGCTGCCCCCGTGGCCGGGTGTGCTGCAGAATGGTGGGGCCCAGCCCTGGAAGCAGTGGCAGTTCTGGTTGTTGTTGCAGACCTAGGGAGAGGGGAGAGCAGAGGTGTCAATGCTCCAGAGGGCTCCCACCCCCTCGGGTTCTGCCCCACACTCAGCACCAGCCCTGGGACACACACCCCGTGACCACTGCACTTCTTCTCGCAGTCTTCAGTTTCAAAGAAAGAGGTGTTCCTGCACTCTCCCTCGAAGCAGATCTGCAGTGAGGGGGAAGCACAGCCATGAGTATGACACAGGGACACGGGGCAGGAAACAGGACATGAGGTTGTACACTTAGTGCACGTGGGGACCCAGAAAGGAAGCCCATCTAGCCCATCTTCTGGTCACTTAGCACAGTGGGAAATCTAAGAACCTAAAAATGCTGCTATTACCTTTGTGATGAGAGAGAGAGCAACAATTCTATTGCTAAACTATTATATTTGATATCTATAACATGTTGTGCTATGTTAACTATTTGTCTCTTAATAGACTCTATTTACCATTATGTTTAAAAATCATGATTTTGAAGCAGCCTACTCTGTGCTAGAAACTATATCAAGCATTTCATATTTTTTGTACCTTCACTGTCATGACTGACTGTGCTCGACATTATTTCCTCCAAGCCTCTCTAACTTAGACCATTTTTACTTCCTAAGGTCAATGATAAGGATGAAAATGGTAACAGGCAGCCCTTCCAGATGCTCCACAGACACGATCTGAAATAAGCCTTAGTCTACGGATGACACTCTACTGCTATCACTATACAGACTTTTCTAAAGGAAGCTATAGAGACTCAGAAGTCAGAGAGACTTGCACATAAGCCCAGGCATGGCCTTCTCGAGTTCACACTCCTCAGTTTCCCCTTTCTGTAGCTCTGCTCCTGTATGAGGCGGGGGGAAGGGACTCACGTGGTTGAAGCCACACTTGGTCCCAGTCATCACGAGCCCTGGGTCCAGCATGTCATCCTCTTCAGGGCTTCGGTAGACATGGGTACCCCGGCACTGAATCTTCTTCCCGTTCATGACAATGGTGGTTTCGATAGCCACTGCATTGGACTCCAGGGGCACCTCCCGAGAGCTCTGACACTGGATCTTCCCACACTTGGCGTCCCTGGGCCCGAGAGAGAGGCAGGGGAGATGGAATCAGAAGCTGGGGAGATCTGGGGTACCACACGGCTTTAGTCTTTCTTGGCCAAGGCAGGAGGCTTGGGTGAGGTAAGGAAGAAGTCCAGAGCAATGAGTATGTTGTAAGGGTCCACCAGGAGAGACCCTGTGTGGGCTTAGATCAGGGGGATGGAAATGACTTCATGTTCCTGAGCAGATCTAGGCAGGAAACTGGTCTTGGAAAATCCTAACTTCAGATACTTGCATGGCCTGAGCAATCTGTCCCCTCAATCTCTGTCTACTGCCATCCACTCCGGCACTCCAGCCAGGGGCTGGGGTAATCTGACTCTTCATTCACCCTTGTTCTTGGATTTGAGCTATTTTCTAGCCCCGCCAGTCTTTCTTCCATAGCCACTGCAATTCATACCGTTATACTCTCTTACTCGAGCTTTTAGAAACTGATTTCCCTGCCTTCAGTCTTGCCCTGTGGCAGTGAGTTTGTCCTCTTTCATGTTTTCAAGCTGAAGTCCAGACTTCCCTAACCAGTCATGGAAGCTTTTTCATAATTTAGCCCCTGCTTACCTATCCAAACTCATTTCTCACAGACCCTCTCCTTTGTACCTGAACTGTATCAAGTTGCTATTAGCTCTTGACATTGGGCACTCAGGAGGGAGTTTGGCAATAACTACTAGTTTTTCTCCAGCCACCTCTCTGCCTAGACCACTCTTCTACATACCAGTACCATGACTGCTCCTGTTCACCTACTTAACCGCTCCATGACGCGTAGCTTCCCTGCCTAACCCCGGGACACTAAGATGGGTTGGGTGGCTCTCTCTACATTCCCATTATCACACTGTACGACTTATTAAAACCTTGACGGGCTCACACAGGGTCGTGCTGTAAACTTTCAGTGGACAGTGAGTAGGTAGATGGACACATGGATGGATGGGACAGGATAAGTGCACGAGCGGGTGGATAAACAGATGGGCAAATGGATGGGTGGATGGACAGATGGTTAGAACAAATGAATGAATGAATGAATGATCTATTCAGATTAGGCCATAATTAGCACTCTGCAAATGATCCAACAGATCTCTGTCCTACTATGAGATGACCCCCAAAGGGGGACTGATCAGCTTTCTAGGAAGCCTTGCCACTCACACCTTCTCACTGATTTTCTTAGGCCTGAATGCTGCATTGTCAAACAACAGGCTAGGAACAGACACGGACTTCAACTGATTTCTGTGGAGGCGGCTCTGGGGCCACCAGAGGCTGAGCTGGGTGGCAGTGAGCAGGACGGAGCAGGAGTTTATCTCTTCTCATCCCACGGGGTCCGCTCTGTGGTCATTACCTCATGTTACACTTCTTGTTCTGACCGTGCATGTCTTTGCCACAGTTTCCATATTCGTCTCCTGCCACATTCACCCTCTCGAAGCAGAGATCAGGGGCAGGCTGGGCTCCTGGGTGCACAAGAAACAACATAGGTCAGTACACAAGGCTGTCAGCAGTCCCCAAGAATGCCTCTCCGGTACTCCTGTCAAGTATCCTGCCCCCATGTTCTCACCAAGACTAACTGAGAGAAAATGTCTTCCATTTGTTGTTACATCTTATCAAGGAATTATATCTCGGGAGGGTGCATGCTAAGCTTACTATCTAATTACACAGTGCCATCACATGTCAGGATTTTAAAAATAGGTAATTCAAGCATAAAGCTGTGAAGACGCAAAGTATGTCTCTGGAACTTTTCCTCAGAGCCATGCTGTTCCACATGCCCTACATCCTGAAAAGGCAACAATTAGCGGTGCATTTTCTAGAGATAACTGTATCTTTGTATTCTGTATCTCCAGATATAATCTGGGTGTATCTTCTAGAGCAAATCTAAGTAAGAAGGAAGCAAATCCTATACACTGATATGTATCTCACGTTTTTATTTAGTTGTTGTCGGAGATGCTTTTATTCAGCATACAGTCGCCTCCTTTTACTTAGACACAAAGCACTGCACTATGCAGACTGACCAGAATTAATTTACTTGGTCCCTACTAGAAGGTGCAGAGGGTGTTATTGCTTTAGCTAAGAATAGCGCAATTACCATCTCTGAAAACGTATCTTCACATACATATGCGAGTACAAGTGTTGGCTGTTTCTAAGCAGTGGAACTGACAGGCTCCATCAATGTATTTAAAATCTTTCTATCTCCAAATCGCTTTCCTGGGGGGTTGGATCTGATCCCTCACACCCTCCACAATATCATATTACTGTTGTTGTTCTCAATTTTCAATCTTTGTAATCTGATACATGAAAAATTCTACCTCGTATTAGTCATAATTTGCTGTCTCAAGATGACCAAGGTTAAAACCTTTTCACAGCTTAAAGGGCCATTTGAATTTCTGTTTCTGCATTGCTTTTCTGTTCCAGTCATTTTCTCCTTTATATCTAAATTATTGTTACTAAATAGCAGACTCTGAGAGCTGAAAGCACCAAAGGATCAGGAAGACTGCCAGCCACTGGCTCTTTCGGAATCTCTCAATGGGAAGAAAGAAGTGGGGTTTTGTTGTTTGTTTTGTGCCACTGGGAAGTGAACCTAAAAAGTGAACACACTGGGAAGAGTCTCACTTCGAAGCTATTTTTTTTTTTTTTTTTTTTTTT